CAGACGCTTAATGACTGAGCCACCCAGGCGCCCTACTATGAACATTCTTGCACACCAGCTTCTGGTGGTTGCCGGGCTCCTTAGCTTGTGGCCACATCACTCCAATCTTCAAGGGCAGTATCTTCACATCTCTCTCTGCTCTGTCTTCATATGGGCCTCTCTGTGTGTAAAAGCTCCCTCTGCTTCCCTCCTATAAGGATGTGTGTGATTTCACATTTGCTCTGGAGGATCAACTCTGTCCCTGCCGCATTACCCCACCCTACCCATAGAGCTTGATGCCTCCTACATCTGTTTCTCCATCTCAGACCTTTCAAGTTGCAAGCCACTAGTTTCTAGCTCAGTTTGCTGAAAACCAATCTTCAGGTATGATCAAGAATATACTCTTCTTCAACAACAACAAAGTTTAGGACAATTTATATTGGCAAGGGCAGCTTTCACAGTTTTGGAAGATTTCGGGGGCATTTTGGTTGGCTGGTCATCATTTTGTCTTTGTAAGAGTTCTCTCTCTTTTAAAAAAAGATTTATTTATTTATTTTAGAGAGAGAGTGAGAATGTGGAGGGGAGGGGCAGAGGGAGAGGGGCAGAGGAAAAGGGAGAGAGAAACTTTAGCAGACTCTGCCCTAAGCACAGAGCCTGTGGGGCTTTTGGGGGCTTTGTGGGGCTTTGTGGGGCTTGATCTCACAACTCTGAGATCAGGACCTGAGCTGAAACCAAGAGCTGAACGCTCAACCGACTGTGCCACCCAGGTGCCCCTGTAAGGGCATTTTCTAGAGTGGTCCACTTGCCTCTGCAGCTGTAGGAGTGGGACAGAGAGGGGTCCTTGACTCAGGGAGGCACAGAGGTTGGGGGCCAGAGACGAGGGGAGACTCCGAGAATATCCTTATGACTTAACATTTTCTTATTTGATAATCTATTCCAGAATGCATTTAAGAATACATTTGTAAATTCTTATAAATATATTAATGAAGAATCTATTCATTGACTTCGTAACCGTGAAGAGTATATTCATGAATATGTACTTGAGCATAGCCAATATCTTGAACGTTCTGTCTGAATCCTTCATGTAAATGGAAAGACAGGCATGGGGAATGTCCTTTCAAGTGGACACCGTGCTGCCTCCCCCTCTCTGTGGGCATTGTCAGTCCACTCTCTTCTCTACGAGGAGTAGGGCAGGGACTAATGGACTATTCTTTGAAACACTGTCATGAACCAGCTCTTGACAAATTGGTTTTCAACAAATGATTGTTTAAGCTCATTAACTGCCTAGGGGACAACTCTATGTGGGTGTCAGTCAAGTCCCTGAAGCAGGACCAAACTGACCTCCTTGCCTCATATTCCCTGTCTGTGTGATCTGATCGGCCGCACCCTCCATTACCCTGCTCACTCAGCCTCACTCTGTCAAGCGCCAACCACACCCGGCTCTCCCTGACTGCCTCGCCGCAGCTCAAGATTCAGGTCCTCCCTTGTCTCCTCCAGGTGCTCTGAGAGAACTGATGGTGCCATGTGGTCACCATTGGGATAGGGACCCCTCTTGCCAGGGGACTTGGGACTACCAGGCTTCAGCCATTCTGTGTCTCCAGGGCTCTCTGGTACCTTTCCACTTCTGCAGCGTCACCACCCACCCCATGGGACAAGCCTTCCTTGGCTCTTCTCTAAATGACGACGCTAAAAGCCACATGGCCTCTGGCCTCCGGCCTGTCCTTCCTGGTGCTCAAATGAAGAACCTCAAAGTTTTTTTAAATTATGAAATATTCCAAACCCAGGGGGAAATGTAGAGGATAACATGATCAAGACCGTGTACCCACCCACAGGTTTTTCAAATCTTCACATTTACCATATTTGTTTCACATATTATTTTATTAAGAAGTAAAACTTTAGAAGGTTCACTTGAAGCTCTCACATCATCCCTTCCCAACCCCACCCTCCTTCCACCTACCTCACTAACCTCATTGGGCCCTTATCTTTTCCATGCATGTTTTTATGCTTTACAACGTATACACATAGCTGGTTAAATACATACTGGTTAGTGACGTTTTGTTTGTGTTTTTAAGAGGTTTACTGAGATATAAGTTACATGCCATAAAATGCACCATTTTAACTCTGTGTTTCTTTTTTTTTTTTTTTAAAGATTTTATTTATTT